GGCGCCGATCTGAGGGAGGAGAGCCGGGCCGGGCTGAGGGGGCCGGGCTGAGGGAGGACAGAGCTGGGCCGGGTGAGGCGGGACCGGCCCCCGTCGAGGCACCATGTCGGGGGCGGCGAGGACGGCCATCTGTCTGCTGCGCGGCGACCTGCGCGCCCATGATAACCAGGTAGGGCTCGGCCAGCGGCCCCCCGGGTATTTCTTTAGAAATAACCCTGCTCCTGGGTAGGCTGGGGAGAGGTGCGCACTGCATCCTGCCCCCGAGAGCTGCCAGGGCCCTCTCTGTGTTTCCAGGTGCTCCACTGGGCTCAGAGTAACGCAGATTTCGTTATTCCCCTCTATTGCTTCGACCCGCGGCACTACGTGGGCACCCCCTGCTATGGCTTCCCGAAGACAGGGCCCCATCGGCTCAGGTTTTTGCTGGAAAGCGTGAAGGATCTAAGAGAAACACTCAAGAAAAAAGGAAGGTAGTTGAGAAAGCACTGTGCAAATAACATGTCTAATTTTATTTTCCTAGTTGTTCTCAACACATATCTGTGCTGTGAGTCAAATCATGTCATATACTCTGGGCTCTGATGATGGCTCGCTTCAGAGTGCCACAGCCCTTCTGTGAGGTACAATAAGGTCCCATACATAACGCTGTTCAGATGACCTGCTGTGGCATTTGCAAGGGAGCAAAAAGCCATGCAGGCTGCATGCCATTCGGGATTTTGCTTTCTCAAACTCAGATACCACAGATGGGTGTCAGCCTTGAGCGCTTTGCCCAGAGTCCTGACGACTGGCGACATGAACGGCAGTCTTCTGAGATTTAGGCAATGACACTAGCTACTGTGGCATGCGTCCTTCCTTGTTCCTAGCGAGTTTGCCCTAGGAGTTGGCTTGAGACAGACCATCATGGATCCTGGCTTGTGAGACTGGAGAGTTTAGTTTGCTCATGCCCTGTCCTGCTAAACCCAATCTCTTTGGTAGGCTACACTGTGGGAAGGGAGTCTTCAGGGATTCCTCTTTCACTATGCCTTTAGAAACCATAACTGGGGTAGACCAGGGCCTGAAGGTCTACATGCTGAAGAATCCTATTACCAGATAACATCTGACTTTGCTTAGCAGAAGGTGTGTCAGCCAGCCTGTTTTCTCTGAGAGCAGCAGAACAGTGGTAGTAGAAGCAAGAGGAATGGCTCTGGGTTTGCAGTGCAGTGTGGACCACGCAGATGGTGAATGTTACAGGAGACTGAAGGAACTGGTCACTGGGTATTTGCAGCCATACCCCACAGTGAAAAGATTCAGAGCTGCTTGAATGCTGCTGTGCTGTTGTCAGTGGCTGATAAGAGACTGGTCTTCTGCAGTGATAGACGTGTGGTTATGAAGAGCCAAGCTAAGACCTAGGCTCCATTTCCGCAACCATGAAGTACCTTCATGGTAGTGGTAGACAGTAATCTCCTCCATGTCCAATCTGTGGTGTTCCCTGTGGGCAGCTTGGTCTCTGCTTTTCTGTGGGAAGTAAGGGGAACTGCTCTCTCAGCAGCACCCATTGCTTCTGCCTTCTTCAGACCCAGCCCACCTTTGAAGAAATTTTTCAGTTATGCTTTAATTGTTCTGGGAAAAACACTGTATTACCCCTTCAAGAAATTATTCTCCAGCACAGGCCTCTGTTACATGACACAGTAGGGGGTGTGTGTACATGCATGCGCACGTGCATGTGTGTGAGAGACAGGAAAAGGGACAGAGTCACGTATGAGGCTCCTCACAGAACTCTGCACCCACCTCTGATGAACTTTCTCACCACAGCTTCTCTTTTGGTCTGATGCCCTGGGTACACAGCTGGGCAGTTGGTGAGGTTGCAAGGTGGGAGGGAAGTTCTGTTGACTCTGTTACAAACACAGAATGTTCAGAGGAAAGAATTTCTTTGAATACTCCCACATGAAAGTGGAGAGGGGTCTGTCCACAGGCCACCACTACCTGTGAAGGGGACTGAAAGAGGAACAAGTTCTTGCATCTCAGCCTTAGTGTGTGAGGATGAACAGATCTGACAGTTTTACTTTTAGGTAACAGCCTGGCTTTCTGCCCAGTCATCCTTTCTAAGGCATCCAAGGTGGTAGAAATGTGTTTGACACAAACTCAGCCCCAGAGGCTTACAAACTGTGTTCAGTGGGTCCTAAAAAATGTAGGCTAGTCAAATCATGTCTGTCTGCCTCCGTATGCTCTCTGTGCTCTGTAGAGAACTAGTACATGGGTGGCTGGGCCAGGACTTGGGCCTCCTGTACACATAAATAACAATAACATCAAGCCTAATTCAGGTCAATATTTTGTGTTTGCAGTACCCTGGTTGTGAGGAAGGGGAAGCCAGAAGATGTGGTTTGTGATCTGATTACGCAGTTGGGCTCTGTCAGTGCTGTGGCTTTCCATGAAGAGGTAAGGGAAATATTTGAGTGACATTGTTAAAAGATAAAATTAGGTTGTTGTCGTGGTTTAACCCCAGCCAGCAACTAAGCACCACGCAGCCGCTCACTCCCTCCCCCCCCATCCAGTGGGATGGGGGAGAAAATCAGGAAAAGAAGTAAAACTCCTGGGTTGAGATAAGAACGATTTAATAGAACAGAAAAGAAAAAACTAATAATGATAATGATAACACTAATAACATGACAATAGTAGTAATAAAAGGATTGAAATGTACAAATGATGCGCAGGGCAATTGCTCACCACCTGCCGACCGACACCCAGCCAGTCCCCGAGCGGTGAATCCCTGCCCCCACTTCCCAGTTCCTAAACTAGATGGGACGTCACATGGTATGGAATACACCGTTGGCCAGTTTGGGTCAGGTGCCCTGGCTGGGCATGAGAAGCTGAAAAATCCTTGACTCTAGTCTAAACACTACTGAGCAACAACTGAAAACATCAGTGTTATCAACATTCTTCACATACTGAACTCAAAACATAGCCCTGTACCAGCTACTAGGAAGACAGTTAACTCTATCCCAGCTGAAACCAGGACAGTTGTGGCGGTTTCTTCCACAACCAAATAGTCATGCAGATCCTGTGTGTTCAGAGCCTTTCTTGTCCATGGTATAGTTAGCCTTGGGGAAACTGGCTAGCTCCTGGGATGGGGATGGTGTAGGTGTCTGGGTGGGAGTCCTTGCTGGATGACAGCAGCTATTTGTCATTGATCACTTGAAAGTGCTGTGTCTTGAGGAAGAGGAGTTTCCAGCAACTGGCATTTTTAGGTCAGCTGAGTCCATTTCTCCTTCTGTTTGCATCAAGCTGCCTCTTCCTGGCACCTTTCTTGCACAGGGAGCTAGCTGTCAGGGGGCATATTGTATCGAGTGTAGAAAAAGCCCACAGTGAGTTGACAGCACCCATATTTAGGCAGTTGCCCACCAGTGTGTTGAAGAATGAAAGATGAGTCCAGTCTTAGACTGCTCATGGGCTTGGTGTGTCACTGACATGTTTTCACTGAGCTGACTAAGTGGTTTGATCCAGAGCCTGCTGAATTCAGTGGAGGGCTCTGGATCCAAACCACTGGGTCTGGGGGCTTTGTGTACACACACATACGTATGTATGTATATAGATGCACTCAGTATTAGCCAAGTCTGTTTCTTAGAGCTGTCTAATGCAGGATCACTCTGTGACCTGCACTTCAGGTGTTCCTGCTGTCAGGCCTAAGACCCTTGTAATGACAACCTACACATCTCATAGTGTCTTGTTCCATGCAGCACTAAAAGCAGCCACAGAGGGTCAGACAAAAGGCTTCTTCTAACTCCAGAACCTTTTTCCTGACAGCGACCAGTAACAGATTGGTTATTGACCCAGAGGAGACCACAGGAGCGGGACAAATCTGTAAAGATACTTCCCCTGAATACTTTCCCAGCTTCCAAGAATCTGTGGCTCAAGGACTTCTTGAAACAGGAATGCTATCCTGATACTCAATAACCCTCAGTGGATTTCTTTTAAATATATTTGTCCAGTCACCCTTCCAGTCCATGCAAACTTAAAAGATCTGCAACATCCTACATCAAGGGGTTCCTTATTCTGGCATTGGCACTACTAATTGAGAGTGAAAACATTTGTTGGGTTTGGCAAAGGGAAATACTCAGAGATTGTCTGTGTGCACCTCTCTCTAAAGAGATGAAGCTAACTGAGATGAGGGAGGAAGGCAAGACCGGGGACCAGGGTCAGTGCACATGTGGGAGCTGAGGCTGTGCAGGCATGGCCTCACTGCCTTTTGTTCTCCCTAGGCCACGCAGGAGGAGCTGGATGTGGAGAAGCAGCTGTGCCAGGTGTGTAGTCAGCACGGGGTGAAGATTCACACATTCTGGGCATCCACGCTGTATCATCGGGATGACCTTCCCTTCAGGCCTATTGCCAGGTGGGCTGCTCCATGGGGTCACTCACTCCTCCACTGTCTCATTTGTTTCTCACACCAGGAGGGGTCTTAGTCATCTAATCCCACAGGGAAGGGACCTATTAGTCCATCTGCATTTATGGAACAGTGCTGTCATGCTCATACACATCAAGGGGAAGGGGCACATTCATCCCTTTCTACTAGTAGGATTTACACTTCAGTATGCATAAATCCAAGGGGTTTGTCTGACCATTGACTTGAGGGACTGATTTCTCTTTGCCCTTCCACCAGCACAGTTTGGATACTCAGTCTGCAGTGCCTGGAGTCCTTGTGACATTGGGCTGGATTGCTCCATTACCCCATCTGTCTAAATGCAGCTGCCTATGACAGTAGCCCTTTGCGTGTGGGCTCTTCATAGCTCCCTCAATAGTCACTTTAGGTGTAGTGGATGGAGTTGAGTGATTCACGGTATCCTATAGAAAATGTATAAAATGGGGCCGAAGAGTCAGGCCATAAAAATGCCTGTTTCTCTCCATTGACTGAAAAGGCAGCAGGAGGTTCCAAATTTTTACATTGAGGTCAGCCTTGTGGGTAATCAGAAGTTAGGTGAGATAAATCTGAACCTCATGGGTTGCCCCATCAGGACACATCTTAAATTGAAAAGGCACCATTTGCATCAGAAACAGAAAGAAATTGGGTGAAGGACTGAACTCCTGTTTGCTGCTAGCTCCAGGGACATCTACCTCTATTATGCCAGGCAGTATACAAACATGCATCACAAATACGCACTCTGCCTCTGGAGAGTGCAGCCTGGAAAGCTAACCCTCCATCTGTGGAAGCTGCTGTGTGGTGCTGTGTGGAGGGGCCAGGGTAGCCATCCTGTGGAGATCTGACTGCGCTGTAATCTGCACAGGTTGCCTGATGTCTACACTCATTTCCGAAAAGTGGTGGAATCTGAGGTGAAGGTCCGGCCAACCCTGCGGATGGCAGATCAGCTAAAGCCTCTGGCTCCAGGGGTGGAAGAAGGGTGTATTCCTACAATGGAGGATTTGGGACAGAAGGGTAACAAAACTTAATTTGGCAGTTGCTCCCATGAAATCCTACTTAGAGATGTTTCTTACTGACAATCAAAACATGGACCCCTCCTAAAGGCGGTGGTTGCCCTTCAAACTGTAACTAAGCCTCCCTTCACTCATACAGCAAATGAAGGTACATTCCCTGCATGGAGGAGCTGCCCTGCAGCTGGGTCGAAAACATCCTCTTAGTCAGTAATTTTTAATATGTCTGATGTGGCCCTTGTTTTAAAGGAAGACCAGGGCACAAATCTTTTATGTCCCCAAAGCAGACAGTCCTACTGCTAAACATCCCTAGATTTTAAGCTCCCTACCTTTGAGATGCTTTCCAAGGGAGTAACAAGGTGATGGTGTTTTCTGTGGCAGATCCTGTGACTGATCCACGAACAGCCTTCCCCTGCAGTGGAGGAGAGACACAGGCTTTAATGAGACTGCAGTATTATTTTTGGGACACGGTAACTCTTATATTTCCTTGTCTACATCCTCCCACTTGTACATATGGCTGTGCAAGTGGGTGAGGCTGCAATTTCACTTCCTAATAATGTTTCCTTAGCTCCTGTATAACACTTTACGAAGGAGGGAATTAGCATTATTTCAGTTTTTCAGAGAGACAAACTAAATAAAAAAGAAGTCATCCAGGAACTGGGAATGTAAGCCAAATACTTACGAACTAGTTTAGTGGCCATCCCTCTTGAGTCTTTTTTTCCATCAACATTTGGGAATCAGGACAATTTTATAGCTCCTTTACCTCAGTTTGCCCTTTCTACTCTCCTGTCCCACATCATCAGCAATGTAGGTCCTCCATTTTGGAGGAGTGAAAAGTGGCCTAAAGGGCTGCAGTTGCAGGTGGGGTGAGGAACAACTGACCCAAGCTGCTGCCTGCAGTTAAAAATAGTAGGAGGTTCCTAGTAGTCCGGTTTAAAAACTTGCAGCCAGTAAGTACTGCTACTTCTTGCTTCCTCGCTTTGGTGGAGTGAAGCTGCTGCTGACTGCATTTTGTGTGTGCATCCTGACTGTTTTTAAACTTTTTCCTGGTCTAGTTTGAGGAACTGCCTTAAATTTGCCTAGCATGAATTTAGACGAAGACACATGTGCTGATTTCCAACAGCATCAGACCCTATGCAGCTTTGTGGATAAAGGGGGTAGCATCTCTCCAGCTGAGATGTATTAAGAAGTGCGCTGTGCCCAGTGCACTCACTGGGACACCCCCCCGGGGATTCCTTCAGCTGTGCTACAGAAGTTCCTGCATTCCCTTGCTGTTGGGCGAGCATTGTCATGGTTTAACCCCACTAGGCAGCTCAGCTCCACGCAGCCACTCCCTCACTCCCCACCAGTGAGATGGGGGAGAGAATCAGAGAGGTAAAAGTGAGATAACTCGTGGGTTGAGATAAAGACAGTTTAATAGGTAAAGCAAAAGCTGCATGTACAAGCAAAGCAAAAGCTGCATGCACAAGCAAAGCAAAATAAGGACTTACTCACTACTTCCCATCAGCAGGCAGGTGTTCAGCTATCTCCAGGGCTCCATCACACCTAAGTTACTTGGGAAGACAAACGCACTCACTCCGAACATTCCCCCCCGCTTCCTCCATCTTTCCCACCTTTTACTGCTGAGCGGGACATCATATGGTCTGGGATATCCCTCGGGTCAGTTGGGGTCAGCTGTCCCAGCTGTGTCACCTCCCAACTCCTTGTGCCCCCCCCCAGCCTGCTTGCTGGCGGGGTGGGGTGAGAAGCAGAAAAGGCCTTGACTCTGTGTAAGCACTGCTCAGCAATAACAAAAACATCCCTGTGTTATCAACACTGTTTTCATCACAAATTCAAAACATAGCACCACACAAGCTACTCTGAAGAAAATTAACTCTATCCCCACCAAAACCAGTGCAAGCATACGATCAAACAGTAATACAATCTGCTGGAAAACCTGTTCCTTCTTTTTTGTTACACAAATACTGTCTTGGTGAGCTAGAACAGCCCTTTAGCAGTTGTAACCTGTGCAGTGAAGGGAATCAAGGAGAGATCAGGCTTCCCTATGTCCTCTGCATTGTCAGCAGAGTGCTCAGAAAATGGAAGGTCTGCACCCTGCTGTAAATATGGGTGGCCCAGAAATAACAGCGATCAGGATTCCTGCAGCTAGTGTTGGGTGCTGTCAGATACTGTGGTTTTCAAACCCAAACAAGCAGCCACATGGGCAAGAGAACCGGTCACCAGTGCTACTGGAGCTTTTAAGTGGATTATTGACCCGGAGTCAGGAGGGTATGGGCAGAGAGAAGCACAGCCAGGTTCATAGTGCTTGTAGAAAGGAATGTGCTACAGGCTGAAGCGGGGAGCATAGCTTGTGACACGCATCCCAGAGCTATAATGAAAACTGCTGGCCTGATTAATTCCTGTGCACTGGAGGCAGTAATTTGGCAGCTCTGTAGTCCTTGCAGGCAGCCATGAGAGGGATCCCAGCCCTGCCAGATTGCCCTGGCTCCAGTATGAAAGAAAACATATTTAGCATGTTGCACATAAAGTATTAAAACCTTTTGTTCTTTTGCTCACACAGAACCTGGTTGCATCTTACAAGGAGACTCGGAATGGACTGGTGGGAATGGATTACTCAACTAAATTTGCACCATGGTAAAGAATTTTGTTGTGAGGCTGGAAGCTCCTTCTCTGCTCCTATTCCGAACTGATGTTATGTGTCTGCTGAGTGCTCACTGGGCATGGGTAGGGGCCTAGGTGTGATTCCCTTGCCCTTTTCTTGGGGTAGGGCAGCTTCAGAGAGCTGCTCTTTATTGCGCTTCCAGGCAGCAGTTCCCTGGGAACATTCCTGCAATTAGGAATTCCTGAAGTGTAGCAGTACTGTGCCAAGAGCCCAGTGTGCTGGGAGCAGCGATGTGGACAGGGCACTGGACAGACACACAACTTGGCTTTGGCTTTGTGCTGTTTTGTTTATCTGGGGTGGTTGAGAGCAGCCAAGGAAGAAGGGTAGCTTCAGCGTGTTGATAGGGCTGTAAGCAGAACTCGATCCAGTCCTGGTTTGCTGAATACTGTGGGACAAGTTGCCTCACCTCACGGCCATTCCATTTTTCTGTGGGGTGAAGAGACACTTCTGATTATTCCTATTGCAAAAGGATCTCTTGTTTGGGTAAATATAATAATTCTAATTAGGGGTTTTAGTCTCTGGTGCTGGAAGGGGGAGTGTTAATTCCAGACTGAAACTGCAGCAGCAGAACCCAGTTCAGCCTAATGCTGAGAACATCTGGAGTGTTTTCCCGACATAACTGCAATGAGAAACAATTTGCTGAGGCTGTTACAGGTCAGGATATCTTATTTTCAACTGGCTTTGTGCTGTAATGGTTGCAGTGTATGGCTCCACCTGGTGGCACTTTGGGATCCCAGGACCACTGGCACTGCAGTTACTTACTTGCGGCCTCCACTCTGTTTTTTCCAAGCTGGCCATTAGCCCAGAGCAGACAGTCCTGATCTGCCTGCCCCAAAGTGTTCCTCTGTCAGATAATGAAAATCAGAACGGGTCAGATTGCAGCCAGGCATTCACATCTCATACTGGCCACTTCTAAGTGTTAGAGCTGGTCAACAATTAAGGAAAAACTCTTCAGGCCCTTTCTTCCTGTTTTCCAGAATTCATTAGAACATCAAATGTTTCCACAAGCCCTAGTGGGAAATTGCAGTAAAATACATTTCTAGGAAAATCAAGGTAAAAGTTGTTCTTTATCACCCTTTGTGATGGGGTTGGCATCTACAAGCTCTTTTCTGTCTTGCACAGCACTGATTTGGAACAAATGGAAGGAGCCCAGTGGGTTGGAATGCCAGAGCTGGGTTTGATTCCCTAGTTTTCTTACCCTGCCTGAGATTTTCAGGAAGTCACTTGCCTTCTGTGGTTGCTCAAATGAGACACTAAGGTACTGCAGGGAAAGGAGCCCTGGGCATATGATAAATAGGTTTATAGTAAAAGGAGGGCTGTTGAACAGCTAGGACAGTTGATGCAGAGGTTGACATTTGAGATCCATTTCTGGATTTGTCATTGGTGTGCTAAGTCACCAGCTGATCAAGGTCTTCTAGGTGAAACTTGTCAAACTTCTGTAAAACGATTTATCTCATTAGGTTGGAGACTCCTGTAACAGTCATACGCTTGGAAAGGGGGAGGGATTTTGATTCTCAGATTGCAGAGTTGCAAAAAAGTCACACGACTTTGAGAAGCCATTTGGGAAGTCAGTGGCAGAACTGCAAACTGAGCAAAGTTTTCAGACAACAACTCGAAACACAAAACTGCCCCTCCACTCCCTCCCCTCAGACGTCAAGCTGTCAGTCCCACATTGCGTTCAGGACATCATTCTTCTGCTTTCAGGCTGGCACTGGGCTGCATTTCACCTCGATACATCTATGAGCAGATCCAGAAGTATGAAAAAGAGAGAACGGCAAATCAGAGCACATACTGGTATGTCCCTGCACGATCACTGTGGCTTGTTTTCTCTGAAAAGGAAACTGGCATCTCATGCACAGGAGAGAGTGATTTGTTAACTTTCTCTTTAATGAATGTCTGTTTTTCCTGTGCCTTCTGTCTGGTTCCTCTGGGTTGCATTGCAGTTCTGTTTCAGTATGGATTTATTAGTCTGCCTTTGACATCCAGGGGCTTTAGGCTCTTTATAAGTAAAAATTATTAATGCTAGTTGTCATTATTATTGCTGGCAAATTGTGGTTCATGATTTTTAAAACTGATCTCTGTAAATCAGCACCATCCCTCTCTGTATTGTTATTATGTGCTAGATGATAAGGAAGAAGAATGATTTACAAATAAAGGCCAAAGGGTTTCTCATGCCAAGGATATGAACAGGGTTTCACCCAAAAGTCTCAGTGACTGTCCGACTTGTAAAAATCGCATGGTGTCAGGACCACCTCTGGCCACAGTCCAGCAAATGGTCCCCTGCTTGCTTGGCTGCCTGGCCATGACCACACCACTATAGCAATGGGGAAGAGGGGACTAGGAAGTGGGCTTAATGCATCCTGCCTTGTCACCCATGCTCTTCGTCACCTCGCTCCTGACTGCTTGCATGCCTGCTGGTTGTGCTGAAGGCGTCTGGGGGACAGTTGAGTCAGTGTATCAATCCCTGGGCTGGCCTTGAACTTCTCATGCACTCTAATCTGCCCAGACACTGTGAATTAGAGCCTGGTAGGAAGCTCTTATGGAGAAGGAGGTTCATGTTAGAGCCTGGCCTAACACTAGACCTGGATAGGAAGAAACCCAAACCAGAAAGTCTGTGTAAACTGTAGAACTGTTTTTTGTATTAGTTTGTTACATTTGCAACATGTCAAACAGCACAGTGGTTGGTGAAGAACAGGCAGAACATTGCCAACGATTCTGGCCAAAATACTCAATTTCATTAAAATTCAAATGACGGATAAAATATCGACCTTTTGCCTGTTGAATGTATGCTGCCTTTTTTTTTAATTCAAAGACAATTAAGAAAGGAAAGATTTCAAGAAATGAACATACTCATGTTTTTCCATCTAATAGTCAGCCAGCCTGCCTGCAGCTGGGGTGCCATGGTGATCTGAGCATTTTAAAGCGATAAATAACTACAAAAAAGAAGCTGTCAAGCTCCTAGAGACGGTAGTCAACTGTACAGTGAAGTATAGGTTGTGGTGGCTGCACATGAGGGACTGATTGAACCTCAGTGTCATGACACTAGTTTTTAGCATTTGGACAGTGTCCTGTTTTGTAATCAGATTTTCCAGAAAGATCTTGTAAGCAAAAACATCAGCCGAACAGAGTATTTCCAATATGCCAGATTGCTGAAGCAGGTCTCAGAGGCTGAGGTGCCATCATTTTATAAGAAGCTGTTTTTATATAAAATTTTTTATATAAAACTATTTTCTGCAGGCCTAGCACCTGATCTCATGAGCTAGACCAATGTAAACCTAGTTTTGAAGGGTGCCTTCAAGTCCCATATAAAGGTTATTGCTTAAATCAGTGCAAAACTCTTAGGAATGTGCTGACATGCTTGCTCATGTGGAAGCATGAAGCTGAATCAGGTCCTCACCCTGCTCTTTGGAGAATTACATCCCAGTAGGGATGGATGAGGAACAGGTTTCCTGAAATTCTGCTCCTGCACTTGAGTTAAGGAAAGCTTCCCAAGTGATTCATGCAAAGTTTGCCTTCACTGTTGTCATCCAGGTGCAAGCTAGATAAGTAGGCTTGAGGCAAGAGCTGGTACCATGGGAAGGTATGTGAAGTTGCGCACTGTGAATAAACCTCACGGCATTAATGATGGGTGCTATGGAAGCAAAATCCTGAATCAGTAATTTTATCTGACCCACAGTGCAATACAGACATGGCTTTGTGTTTTAGGGTCCTGTTTGAACTGCTGTGGCGGGATTACTTTCGATTTGTGGCCCTGAAGTATGGCAGAAGAATTTTCTCATTAAGAGGTGCGTATGGATCACTATATTTGGAGAGGAAAGGTACAGTCTTACAAAAGGGAAAGTAAAGAGAAGAGGCCGTCAGCATTGGGTTGTACAAATGTTCTTCTCAGAGCACTTGTGTCACCACCCTGCGATATTGCTGGGGACTTCCCATTGGCACAGAAGTGCCTCAACACTACGATGTTAGACACTGTAGACACTGAGACTTTTGCCCCAAATCTGATTAGATACGGGGAGTATTGTTAACATGTGTCAGTGGGAAACAACAGCACAATAAGAGTAAAGATGCTGTTTCTGGAGACATTCCACCTTTGGAGAGAATCCAGGCTTCAGGCTTGCCCAAGTTCACCAGATAATTTGGGACAGAGCAGGAATCAACCCAGCAACGTGAATCCCAAGAAACCAGATATTCTTTCTGCCTTGTACTACATAGGAATCAGAATGAGATTCAGCTCCAGACCCAGTGACTTGCGTGCAGGTGTCTACATGTGAAATGGGGGTCTGGACTCTCAGTGAAACAACAAATATCTAGTCCATATAGTCAGGAAACCCTACAGCTGATGCCTGTGCTGGGTGAGCTGTTCTCCATGTGATGTAGCTGCCCACACCTCAGCATCCAGCACTGTTTTAGATGCCCTAGGGCAGTCTGCCTGGCATCCAGCCTGTGTCACATCTGCCAGGCCTATGTGGCTGTTTCGAATGCCCTACAGCATCTCAGATGGCACTGGATGCCAGTGGTGGGCCTAACCTTGTATGTCTGGAGCTGACAGCTGAGTCCTCCCTGCTGCCTCCATTCCACGGTACAGAGGACTGTAATTGCCACTGGACCCCTGCAAACATAAACTCATCTCCCTCATCTGCTCCTACCCCACTGCAGGAGCAGTGTTACCGGGGACTTCTGCCTGGTAATTCTGGGTTTAGTATCTGCTACAGAAACAGATTTCACATAAATATAGTCCTGGAGTAAAAGTGAACAAGAAAATACTAGCTTGGGCCAGAGCACATCTCCGACCACTTGTGAGGTCTGAGTAATTTTTAATTAAAAAACAGAAGAGCAAACACCAACAAAACAAATAATCAAAATCTGTTAGGGCTTAAGCATCCTCCGTGTGCATGAGACACCCCTTGGCAACACCTGAAAGGAGGAATGGATCACCTCTAAACCTTTGCAGAAGGAACATGGCTTGTTTGTAATACCCACTGAGAGGGCTAGCTTCATCCTAACATCTCGTGTCAACCAAGGCGCCTCTCGCTGTCATTGTTTTATTAATAACTGCCTGTGTCAGCATTTGTCTTCATTAACCGTTCATTTTTTTCCTCAATAGGGCTTCAAAATAAAGAGGTCCCCTGGAAAAAGGACCTTCAGCTCTTTGACTGTTGGAAAGGTCAGTAGAAACCACAGGTTTGGCTAAGTGTACTTTTGGTTTCCACGTGTCTGTATGCTAACATGTGCCCTAATGCTAACTCAGATTTACATAGGGGAACTGTCAGTATGATCAGGGCCTGTCATTTAAGCTGTTACCACCAAACAAGAACCCAACCCCTTGGTTCAGTGCGAGTGCAGGATACTTGGCTTCCCTTGAGACTGAGCGCCGTACAGGAGCAGGCCCACAGGGTATCATGAATGGCCAGGCTGTGTCCAGCTGGTACACACTTTGTGAGATGTGCTGCAGTTACATTTTACTGCCCAGGTGGAAGTGTTTATGACCTGTTGGTCCCTTCTGTTTAGTCACACAGAGGCTGACCAGCCCTTCTAATCAATGCTAGATTGCCATGCCTGCTACATTTTGTTCTTCTGATTGGTTTTGGTTAGAAGGTTAAAACAGCATTAGAATAAATCACATCTTTTGTTATGCCACAGCCTTTTAAAATCCTTGCTTTTCTTTAGCTTTTATAACTTTATTGTCACATGAATAGCAAGCACAATATCTCAAAACTTGGAGGAACTAACAGATTAAACTATCAGAATCAATGACATACACACCTGTATATCTTTCTTCACATTAATGCCATCTGTATCAATTTGCACACAGGTACAATAAATCTTTTCCTTAACAATCAACAAGGCTCTTTACTTTTCAGGTACTAACCCTTGGGGACTTGTCCAATACATCCCTTTCTGCTGTTAGTCACCTGTCAAGAATCTTTCTGTTCTTGGCCCATCTCACTATTGTCTGCATATTTATTTTGCTCTGCAAATTCCCTGCAATCCACCTGATGGTTTTTCCAGTCTGAGATTTTTCTGTACCTTGTTTTTTTCCTTGCCAAAAATTCCCCTCATTTTAATTTTAAGTATTATTTCCCATTTAATTTCTAGTGGATCTTGGTGGCTGCATGCCAGCTAAACCTCACAGAAATCTCTCCCTGCCACTGTACACTGGCAATGTCTTACCTGCTTGGATGGCTGTGAATGCATGACCACAGGTTGGTTTATGAGTGCCCAAAAATGTCATCATGTCCCAGCTCTGTCTTTTGTCTCTGCAGAAGGCAAAACGGGGGTTCCTTTTGTTGATGCCAACATGCGAGAGCTGGCTGCAACAGGCTTCATGTCTAACAGAGGGCGGCAGAACGTCGCCAGCTTTCTCACTAAGGACCTGGGTCTGGACTGGAGGATGGGGGCAGAATGGTTTGCATACCTGCTGGTAAGACTGAACCCTTTGTGTATCTGGAGTTCTTTGTGCTCCCTGCCCTGAGTGAAAGACAGGAGGACAGCTCTGCCTAATAAGGAAGGATACAGAAGATGATCAGTAATTTTCAGGCTGATATAAGTGCATGTATATACTGCTTGCATGGTATGTACTTCCCAAAGCTCACGTAAGAAAAGGGAGTTTTGCCACAGTGAAGCTGCCATCAACCAAGATGTAGCGAGGAAATTTGCAATGAAAGTTTTGATCCTCCATGTATGGTTTTAGCCAGAGATTTGTCACACTTGAGAAAACTCAAAACATAAATTATGTTAACAATGCTCTGATTTGCTCACCCCAGAGGCTGGGGAGGAGGACAGCCCAGAAATAGAACATAAAAAGAAATGTGTTCTGGCCACCGAAGCCAGCATTGGCACAGCATCTTTGCATTGATTGCTGTGGACAGGGAAGTCATCTAGTCAAGAACAGGCGAGTATGGACAATAGCTGGATCAGCTTCCAGAGAGCTCCACCCTGGCTGGAGGCATCCTTCTTCATTCTGGTAAGTCACAGGACTCCTGACAACTGGAGCACCCATTTGTTTCTCATATGCCAATCAGCAGCCATGCAAGCTCAGTTAAATAGCTGGGTTGCTTCTCCATCCTCAGTCCCCATAGCTTCTTCCAGGAGGGTCTGAACAGGCTGGCAGTCCCCAGTTCAGCCCTGTGCATCTTTGCTCGGTTGCCATTATCTCTGGCAATACTGATGGAGGGACTGTCAGTAGCACCATGCTGAGTGCTGAAAACTGAGGCTGAGGAGGTGAACCTGCATTTGTGCTTCACCAGACTGAATGGTACAGACTGAAAAAGACCAAATACTAATACCAGCCTCACATTAAAGATCTTAATCTGTGGGTGGGTAAGAGGCTACTGGTAATCAGGAAACTTTCTACTCACCAGGATGGCTGGAGGTACAGAGAAAACCCAGTCACCTCACCATTATCTGCAATTAAAAAAGCCTTTTTTGTGAATGTAATTTTTTTTTTAGCTTCCTTGGAGCTGGGGTGTGACATGGCTTTGGCTGCAGAGATCTACAGGAAGATCTGGGTGCTTTTCCCATTGCTGCATCTCACACCATTGCTGTGAGCAGTGGTGGGCCTGCACAGTAACACAGTGCAGGACTTCTGCAGATCCTCCAGAAAGTGCTGTTGGTAGCTCCATGCAGTGATGCTTTTCCAGATAAGAGTGAGAGCCCCCAGCAAATGGCACCAGAGAACTTGTATCAGAAAAGCGGTGGCCTTATCCTCCATATCCTAGCTGGAATTAGGATGGAAAATCTTACCTTGAGTGCATTTCTTTTGCAGTTTCAGTGGGTTGTAAAAGATAGCTGATACCCTACGTGCCCTAAGCTTCGTAGCAGTGACTTGCCAACCAGGGGCTGCCTTTCAGTATGGATGATCTAACTCCTGTAGCCTGAGTATGTCACACAATGGCCCTCCAGAAGAATGGTACAGCGCACGCAAATGCACAAACACATCTGTGCCTGCCTGTCCTGCAGAGTGAGCCTCTAGGACCGTTTTGAATGTTTTGTAGTATCTGGCTTTTGATGGCATCTATCAGCTATGGCTTTCAGAGCAGTTACAAAGGTTACTTCATTTCACAGAGAGGGCAGCTTGCTTCATGTACAGGCAAGGCTCGTACTCAAAGTCACCCGTGGATTAAGAGTTGGGAGTCAGGAATCGAGGCTTTGCTCTGATGGGGGGGCAGCCTTGCCTACCTCAGATAGGAGCTTGGTTCACTTTGCAGTCAGACACAGAGGGCCACGGAAGATTCCAGGTCCTATTCCCCACGTGAGGAAGACCTGGAAGGTCTCACACTACTAGAAAGATGCTCCCTGGGTTACTTACCTTTATTCACATGGGCATGAATGTTACCAGCCTTGCTGGAAGCAGGATTTAGCACTCTGCACTAGCCCTGTCATCTTGGGAAGCCCCAGATACTGACTGCCACTGTAGGCTAGTGTGGCACAGGCTGATCCTGGTGTCCTGTCCCTTCCTTTCAGCTTATGTCACACTAATACATTGCTAGACAGCTCTGTTACTTTAACCTGGTGGCATCCCCAGAGTAACATGCAGGAGACATCAGTTTGATGGGGGAGATATGGCTATAGAATGGTAGAGGAGAAACTGGTCTCGCTTGCCTCTAAAAAGGGAAAGCAACGCATATTTCATCTCTGATACTTCCAGCAAAGGCCCACCGAGTGTTTGCACATGTCTGTGAAGAAGAGGGTGTTTGTCATCCACACCAGATGGGCAGGGAGACTAAGGGAAGCTCTCCGCAACTCGCTGAAGCTAGGGGAAAGGTCAGAGACTTCTGGTGTCCTGAACAGAGAATATCTCGGCTATGATTTCATTCACAGGGTCAGGCCCCAAGGACAGGGAGAGAAAGAAACAGAATGCCAGGAAGGGGCAAGGCTGAGGGGGAAATGAGCCTGCCTCCTCCAGTCCCCCTTGGATTTGCCCTCACCTCCCACACACGCTTTCCTGCATGTTAATTGCACAATCAGGCCTCCGATGGCATCTTTCTTCCCCTCCTTATCTCACTGACTGGAGGAAGTGCTGCCGGGAAGGGGAAGCCTGGTGCACACTGAGCATAGTTCGCTATTGATCACCCTGACCCCAGCTCTCGGCTGGCTTTGCAGAGAAGGGGTGAGGGAACTTGGCAGAGCCTATTCCCTTGTGCCTTCTGCCATCTGGGTGCATTGAGCACCTCGCTTTAAGGAGTGGCTGAGATTTTGGAAACATCACTGTGTGGACTGGTTTTTGCTGTGGCTCCAGTAAAGGGAGAAGAGAACAGCACTCAACCTGCTCAGTGACGTGTCTTTGCAAACTCTGCCGCAGCTGCCAGCGCTACACTTTCGCAATGTGGACAGCCCTCCTAGGAATGCTCAAAGATCCTACGCCCTTTTTGCTATCACTGCCACTCCCCTCCTGAGCCATGTTTGAATTGTCCTACAACTGGAAAGCTTCTGATATTGGATTTGAGCCACCCTGCCCAGCTGAAGAGCACTCAGACTGGACCATGTTCTGCTCTCTTTTGTGCCCATTTCAGGAGCCTTGCTCCATTTTACATAAGCATCCTTGAGAGCTTTGTATTTGTTCAGATGTAGAATAACTTGACGATGTGCAGCCTACTAAGTATGTCATGAGAGCTCTAGTGTTTCCCCTAGTAAAGCACCTCTCTCTGCCAAGTCCCTGTGACTTGAGGCTTATTCCCTGATGAAGGTTGAGTATAGCAGGGAAAAAACTGCAGTGTTTGTATTGATTGCATCTTCATACATGCTGTGTGGTCACTCCATACAGTCTGAGTTAGTCTTTTCTCCAGTCTGCCTAACAGGATCTGGAGAGATGATTTTGTTAGTCTGTGTTCTCTGGGTAACTGGTCAGGAAGAATTTTCTCTCCTATTTGAAATGTACTGGGCTACTGTTTCTTGGAATATGAGCACTCAAAAGCTAGGGCTAGTTGTCATGAAGTCTGCCAGATGATGGCAGAAAGAGAATTTTTTAAAAAAAAAGGCAATTGAGAAAGAGAGGGAATTTGATTGGACTTTTACCTGTTTTATTGACCTACAGACCACGAAGTGAAGTAGCCTGGTAAGCTGATCCCAGCTGTATGAAACAGCCATGCAGCATGGTCCTCTTCTGAGCCGGACGGCTGTACCTACATGGGAGAGCTCTGACTACCCCAGTGTGGCCAGACTGATTCCCATGCAAGGAATTGTCCCCTTGAGATAAAGGGTGGATGGGGAGAGAAGATTCATTAAGGGGTGGCCCAGCTCTCCTTATTGTTTTCTTCCTCTGTTCTAAAGGTGGATTATGACGTTTGTAGCAATTATGGCAACTGGTTATACAGCGCTGGTATTGGCAATGACCCACGGGAGAACAGGAAGTTTAACATGATTAAACAAGGCCTGGATTACGACGGCAATGTAAGTCTTGTTTGGCTGCCCTACAATGAATACTGCAGCAAAGCCTATGTGATAGTTTCAGGGAACAGAGGACATCAATCTGCTGTGTGGATACTGCTGCAAAAATAGTTCTGTGATCTCCTTGCCAACAGTCAGGCACGCTCCTCACTGTTGTACAGGAAGATCTTACGTTTACAATCTGCTGCTGTCCCCAAAGAGGCCTCTGTACGCCCTCCCTGCCTTGACGTTGGTCTGTATGTTTAGTGTTTCATCACCATTTCTTCCGGGTAACAGCCACATCCCACCCATATCTGACACAGCCATTTCCCTGAGCACAGAGCAGCTTCTTGGAGGACTCAGAAGTGACAAGAGAGATGCTGCTGCTCACATGGCACCTTGGGAGGTCCTGGAGAGTAGATTAAACCTGTGACTCCTCTGGCTAGCCTCTGTAAGTGGTGGGAGCAGATAAATCGCCTTTTCCATCTGCTTAACCAGTGTTCACATACCAGATTACTTGTTTCCACCCTGTTCCTTATCTTCACGGCAAGCTACACTGTTGGCTTCCGGCACTGTAGCTGGCAGGACTTTGCAAGGAATCAGAAACTAGTCCTAGCAGGGGACACAGCAGTAAAGTTAATGGGAGAGACTGAGGGGCAAGGGGGGTTCATCTTGCCAAGCACAAGAGTGTGCAGCTGAGCTAGTCATGCTAGTTTCCTTCAGTCACTGGAAAGAAAAAAGGACTTCTTGTGAGTGACACTATGTCCTAAACAGGGCAGGTGAACTGTACCGAAAAAGCACCTCTCTCTCCCTCCTCTGCCTGCAGCGTGAGCCTGGGAGAAGAGCTCCAGCACCCAGGTCTCTGCGTTTGGGCACTAATTCTGGGTAGAGGGTTTAGCAGGAGTGGCTAAGAATGGATAGAGGTAACTGATGCTGTAGTACACCAGCTTCTTTACCTGGAAATCAGGCTTCTTTCTTTCATGTTAAGAAAGACCCTTGCTGGGAAGCACTTACAGATTGTTACTGAATAGAACTGTCTCCTGTTGGTTCTGTTTGCAGGGGGATTATGTCCGGCTGTGGGTCCCAGAACTACAGGGCATAAAGGGAGCAGATATCCACACCCCTTGGGCACTGAACAGTGCTGCTCTCTCCCAGGCAGGAGTAACTCTAGGTGAGACCTACCCACAGCCAGTTGTGACAGCCCCAGAGTGGAGCCCACACATCAACCAGAGGCCTGTGAGTACTGGGAGGGTTTGGATGGAGTGGGAGGGCTCCAGGACTGACTGTGAATTCTGCTCTTCTTTCTCAGGTGCAAAGGGAAAAAATTGCTTTAATGCAAAGTCACGTTACGTCACAGCAGAGGGTGATCCAGCCCTGCACAGGGACTGTGCAGCCAGGCTTATTTAGCTGTGTCTGTCCTAGGGAACTAAATAGGTCTGAGGCACAAGCCCAAGTACCCACCTCCTGTCATCCAGACAGTTACATTGTTAGTGTGTTCCCCAGCACTATTTTTCCAGGGCCAACAAGCACCTTCCAGAACCTTGTCCAAGCACAATTTGACGGTACCACGCGCTAAGGACTGTCACAAAATACAGTCTTGACAAAGCCACCCTACATCATACGGACACAAACTGTGCCAGGCCAGTTGGCTTTAGGGCTGAAGGATGAACCCATGCATGTTTCATAGGTAGCTCTTCTTACTCAGGTTTTTTCCTCCTGGATATACATAGTGCCAGATATGAGTGGAAGGATGGGGTATCTCTGAAGGCCTCCGCTGGCCTAACCACCCCCAACGCAGATGGACAGAAGGGAGCCCAGGTTGATGCTCAGTTTCCACTCTGTTCATGAGGTGGAACTCCTACCATGCTTGAGTGCATCCAAACTGGAGTCAGCAAGACCCGTAAATATGGGGACTGGCCCTTGCACTTTGCTTTTTGGGTGTATCTGCCCTTTAGAATGGCAACAGATTAAGATGTGGATCCTGCGACATGTCAAGACTTGCATCTGCTGACTGGGCTGCTGTTCTTGGAGGAGATGTGTATGGAAGGGAAGTGCTCTGTACGTCTGGGTGGGGTCAGTGACGCTGGAGCTGGAAGGGAAGAAGGAAATGGATGTAACCAATGGTTGTGTATTTCAAGGGGTTTTCAGCATTTCATCTTCCCCCATGCATCCTCCCTGCCTCCTCCTGAATGCTACTTTGTGGAGGCTCAAATTTAGTTGTCATACTATGTTTAATGAAGAATGAAGCATGTCTCCATTTTGGGTTTTAATCCCAGGGTGCAGTACCAAATATCTCTGGCCAGATTCCTTTGCATGAGTGAAAAGTTTTGCAGAAGCAAAGCCTTCCACTTCCGGCCATGCTGTTGAAGAGCCTGGATTATTACCCTTCTTGAGATCAGAGAAAGGACTCTGAGATCAGAGAAAGGACTCTGAAGGAGCCCCTCGGTGAGACACTGGTTTGAGGCAGTGATGAAACTTGAACCCAAAAGCTCCTCCATCAGGCAGGAGTTCCACTTTGATCAACTTTCCAGCTCACCTGGGGCTCTGTGGACCTGCACTGCCACACCGTGCTTGTGAAATTAAAATACTGCTGGGAGGGACTGTTGGCCCAGTGTTACTGAGGCCTGGAGAAGAACCTCCCCTCCTAGTCCCTAAAAACTGAGTATCAAAATACCTTTGAAAATGCAAGCCCACACCTTACTAGAAACCCTAGCTTCCTAAGTCCAAGCCTAGAGCCATGTCTGTCAGGCCTCCCCGCCTTTTTAGTGAACTTGGGGGTAGAAGTGCCACGTGCACATTTTTCTGCAATGTCAAGGCTGCTTTGGGATCAGATTCACTCTGCAGCATCGGCAAATACCTCACTGTTCATCTTTCATTTGCAGCAGGGAAGAAGTCCCCATCCCAGGGGCAGGAGAGGACCTGCACACACACCAATGCAGCACAAGGACAGAGGGATAGATTTTTACTTTTCTCACAAGAAAGATGTATGATGAAGGCTGTCCAGGTGCGTGCTGGAAAAGCGCTCAGTGCGAGCTTTCACTGCCAAAGATGCCAGGATAACGGTTGATCTCCTTGAGCCAAGCCAATGATAGAAGTCTGGCCACAACAAAGAAAGTAGGGATCTGCCTCTTCATTCTTTCCAAGGTCATGAGCTGGACGTGTGTATTTGGAGGTTGTGTATTAGCACCAATTGTGGTGATCGGGTCTGGTATTTTCCCTTTGGTGCTTAGGCTGGTGCTGTGAGCTCCTATGCAGTTTGCCTGTTGCTCTCCAGGAGTGGTTTCCCTTCAGTGCTGAGGCTCTGACCCCCACAGACAGTGTATCACTCTCAACTCTGTAAAGTCCTGTGGTTGAAAGGGGCTGTCTAACTAATATTAATTAACCAAAATGGCATGGCCTTTCTGTTTGGAGGAGGTGTGGCTGCTTTTCCAGTGCCTCTTGCTTTGCACTGGTGCTTACAGCTGTTAGAGCTAAATTTCTGCCTCTTTACAAACTGGAGCAGATGGTTTATGTGGCAGGTGTTCAGTCAGAACTCTTTCTAGTGAACTTTCTTATCCTCATATTTCATGTTTTAAGGCTTTAAAACTACCGATCATTGTGCAATAAAAAGTTTTGCTACTGGAATATTTTATCTTCCTCATTTCCACAGAGATCCACAGGCAGAGTGAGGCTTCGGAGGACGTTCTTCTACTGTGTCTCCAACAGTACCCTGGAGAAACAGTTAAGTTCCTTGTGAAAACTGCCCAGAGTCCTTGCAGCACCCAGGCTGCTTTTGGTACCAGCCTGGAAGCTGGAAACCATTCAGTTCATAGCTGAGAACTGTAGTTTGTCCTTGGCACCAAAAAAGCAGTCTAAAATGGTTCCCTGGCCATTTTAAGCATTTTGTGTTTATGCAGAATGTTGTACTCGCTGGAAGACTTTGGGAATTTGGGGACAGCCAGGTTTGTGCTGTCGTGGAGCGCTGTCACCCGATGGACAGCCCGGGTTTGAACTCCTCAGTCCCAAAAGCAGCCCTCTCTCAGCAGACAGGACGTGGCTCGATTTATCAGCACTAGGGATCCATCTGGGCCTCTTTCGTAAAGAAGACTACCATAATTCTGTTAAATCTCTTTGAATGCTTACTTGGGTACGTCAGTTCAGGACTGGACTGAGAAAAGAACCGATGAGGAACACAAAAGCAGGTTCTTCTACCAAAAGGAGACGAATCAAGTGATTTTGAGCGGACGCCCTGCCAGGGCCGCATTAATAATCCCACCGTTTGTCGTGTGAGGAGGTTGGGCAGGAATGTAGCCGTCGTGGGGCGATTTGGGGGAGGGAACAGAGGAAAACAGCGTTCGGGACAGCACTGTTCCCTCTGTGGCAGAAGCGTCTCCCCGCACCCACACCGCGGGCCCGGCGTCTGCCCCACGCCTCCCCTAAGGACGGAGCGGAGCCCGAGGCCCGGGCGGTAAGCCAGCGCCGTTCGCCTCCTCCCGAGGCAGCCCGGCCTCAAGCGCGGTCAGCGGGGAAAGCTGCCCCGCACCCCGCGGCGGGGAGGGCGGGCAGAGCCCGCCGGGGGAGGGCGGGAGGCGGCGGCGAGGCGGGGCGAGGCGGGAAGCGAAAGGGCGCCGGGCGAGGGGGGGGAAGTTGCGAGAGCGGCCATGGCCACGGCGCCGGCGGGCCCCGCTACCGGCCGCGTCCCGTCGCCGCCCGACCTCCACGCCGTGCCCATGGTGGCGCTTAACTACGGCGTGCGGCGCCGCCTCGGCCTCTACCTCAACCCGCGGGCGGCGGCGGCCGCCGACTGGACGGCGCTGGCGGAGGAGCTGGGCTGCGAGTACCTGGAGATCCGGCGGCTGGAGGCGAGGCCCGACCCCACCGCCGCCCTGCTGGAGGACTGGCAGTGCCGCTGCCCCGGCGGCGCCACCGTCGGCCGCCTCCTCGACCTCCTGCGCCGCCTGGGCCGCCACGACGTCCTCCTCGACCTGGCCGACAGCGTGGGTGAGGCGCGGCGGCCTCCCCACCCGCCCCTTCCCTTCCTTTCCCTTCCTTTCCCTTCCCTCAGGGCGGCCCCTTCCCTCAGGGCGGGCGGCCGCGGGGGCCCGCCCGGCTCCCCCCCGCGCCCCCGGCCCTGGAGGCGGCGAGCCCTTCCCGCCCTTGCGTGAGGGAAGGCGAGGGCGCTGAGGGGACGGGGAGGCCGTTGCGGTCTCCCTCGGCCCTCAGGCGGCGAGGGCCTGCCACGGAGCGGGGCGCCGCGCTCGTGGGGGAAACGGGGCCGAGGCTGCCCCTTGCCTTCCTCCGTGGGGCTGCGGTGGGCCGGGCCGGAGGGGCCCCGTCTTTCGCCAGGGCTGGGGAGGGCGGTTCTCCTGGGGACGCTGCCTTGCGGCCCTCTGCGACAGCAGGGCACTGCTAAGCTCGGTGCTTCCTTGATGCCTGGGCGGGAGGGGATGCGGTTTGTGTCGGTCTTCGCTGCTGTGTGCAGGGGAGGTGATATTAGGGAAGAATCCCACGCGAGGAGGAAAGCCCTTCCCAGACTGTGGGGTGACCTCCGCGGTGGTGGTGGTGCAGGAGCCTCACGTAGCTTCCAGGACAGAAGGGAGAAGCGCGCTGTATTTCTGCGAACCGTAAGCCCTGCAAAGCAATCCGGAGCGCCGTCTTATCCCACACCTTCAACAGTAAAGTTTCTGCTTGTCAAACCACGCTTTGGGCCAGGTCAGCCCGGAGGCAGCTTGCACAGACACGGGACAGTGTGAAAATCATGATGCGTAGGTCTAGTGTGGTAGGAAGATATTTGCAGGGAGAGGTGATGGATGTGTGGAACTGGGTAATGGAAGGGAAAAATAGTTAACTGGATAATGGAAGGGAAATAAAATTTCCTTGCACACTGAAAAAAATTGAGATAGGTCAGTGAGAAGTGTGGAGGTCCTGGTGCTGTTTTGATAACTTGTTCTTTGTAGTGTCTTCGTATTCTTCACAATCACAGAAATTCAGAGGGAAGCTAGCTGACATCGGAAGGGGAAGTTCATTGCCAAAGGATCTGCAAAGCCAGAGACTCCGCTGAAGGCCTGTGCTATATAATATAGCTTACCGGGTTAGTGATGAAGAAATAATGAATCTCATTTCCTGTTACTCATGGAGATAAGTGAAGACGTAGAAATTCATCTATGTAGAGAGCCTGACCAAGGAGCGATGGAGGACTTTCCCATACTCCTGCGGTTCTTCGTACTCAAGAATGCACTCTGAAGACTCGGTATTGGGAAAGACAAAAAAAAATCAGTGTGCTTCGTGATCCGCCGGTCAGAGGTTCATAACAAATAGCAGAAGCTTCCAGCTGTGCGACAGAGCTGGGGCTTCTTGAAAACTCTGGGCATCGTCTAGGCTGCTTCTGGCCCTGAATTCAGGAGCTGGCCCGCTGGAAGGGAGTGTGGTGGACGGTCTTCGTCAGAGCCTGGACAGACAACAGCAGAACGAGTGGGAGGAACCTGAGCTTCAGGAAAGTCACAAGTTTAGCCCGGTGGTAGGTCATGCTGATAAGAGGAGACGGATAGATTCTTGGAAGAAAGACCCACTGAGGGCTATTCAACACAAAAATATTGCCTCTGGCTCAGGAAATTCCTTAACTGAAAATTCTCCAAAAGCTAGATTATAAAAATAGATTGTAGATTATGCTTAAAAGATAGATTATTTTAGGAAAATATCACTGTACGCTTATATTATTATGTTCTTCCCCAGGCATCTGGTTTTGACCACTGCTGGAGACAGGATGCTAAGAGTAGATGGACCCTCAGCCTGACCCAGCATGGCCATTCCTATCTTTTATTATTGTTGGCTGAGGATTGCAGCTAGACCTTGTGACCTGTTGCTAGCACTCTGAGCTTTTGCCGAAGTCAGAGGTGTTTACACTCGTAAGAGGAAAGGAAATGGACAGTTGCGTGCACTCTTAAGCACGGTATTTCCTGATGCCAAGGGCATCTTTGTGTACGCCGTTAGGACTCCTGCGCTGGGATTCAGCTCAGAACCTGAAAACATCAGTATTGAGGTTTCTGCAGTCTGTGCTTTCGTCATAGGAGGTGCAGATCTGGGGCACGATTCAGCAGCCCACATAAAGGCATCTCAAGTCATCTGAGAGGTGTCAGCGTATCTCAGATGGCCTCTACCTCCTGATGGACACGGGTCATTCGTAGGTCCACTGTCATACCTGCTAGTCCATAACAGGTGTCTCGGACACTCTGGAGTCTCTCGAATGACACCTGATGCCCTTGTGTGGGCAAATGAGCCAAGCTCCTTCGGGACGCAGCATCCCTGTTAAACACAACTTGTTGGTGCTGTGCAGCTCCAGAGGACATGTTTGGTTTGTGATTTCTGCTGCAGAACCAGTTCCCTGTCTTCTCGTCACGTGCTCCATTCCTGGCTATGCTTAGGATGCTAAAAGTCAGTGTCTCCTGGGGCCTTGAATAGTTCCACTTTTGGCCGCTCTGTACAGCAGGGCTGTATTTAGCAGCTCCCCTGTTGCACTGTCTGGAGTACAGGTGCTTGCAGGGTGCAGCTTCTCCATCCCAGCAGATCTGCCCTAAGTGTGATCTTTCTTAGCAGCCTACCTCGTTGTACAGTCATCTTTAGGGATGTGAAGCTCTTTGCTTTGGTACGTTTGTGCTAACTCTTTTCCGCTGAAACTCGGTGATTTTTGTTTCCGCCTGACCCATTAGAAAAGTGCTGCTTTCCTGCTTGACAGTTACTTTGTTTTCTTCCTCTTCTCATCATGCTGATCATTTTGCACTTTAGGTTTCATGTTTTTATTCTTTCTCTCCAATACCTCAGGCTTTTGTTTGACCATTGGAGGAATGTGAAGCCTGCACTGTGTTTGTTAGGTGCTGGGTGGAGTGGGACAACTTAGCTTGGAGGAGTTTCTTGCTACTTCATTGCGTTGGTTTGCATCCTTTTTCTTTACAGGCCTGCAAAGTCATCTTTGACCCTCGTTCGCTCTCATTAACCTGTACAGTCAGGCACTGTTTCCATCTGGGGACTAATCCATGCCAAATTCATGAATGTCTTTCATTCCTTCAGGTTCACTGGACCGATCGGCAGTTTCAGTGCGATAGGGCCCCCAGTTTGCACTTGTCATAAAACCAGGAGGCTCCGGTGTTTTGTTTTGAAAGCTTTGCCCAGCTCTCAGGTTTATCCTGTAGGGATAAATGGGATCTGGGATTACAGCATGATGCCATCAAAACTCTGCACTAGGCTTGACTAGTTGAATCAGGAGAACACTCTACGTTAATGAGAATGTGTGTCAGCCTTGAGTGGTGTGGTGATGAGCTTTGGGCACCAATCTAGAAAAACGCAGGTCAGGGCAGCATAGATGCCACTTTTTCAGGAGGGAGAGGCAAGGAGACAAGACATGGAGGAAATACACTTAAAATGAACATTTCTGTATTGAGCGCTAGTATTTGTATGCCTTTAAATAATTGCCTGTTCTTGCCTGTTCAGCAATATTCTGGATCATGAAGCTGGCTATGTAGGGGACCATGGCACATGTAAGGTGGTGCCTGCGTGCTGGTCCTTCCTGAGGAACTTCTGAACTTCTGTTGGCCAATTCAGAGTGGCTTTAATCATGATTTCAAAGACACTGACTTACCTGACATGAAATGTGCACGCCTCATGGCAACAGGCAGCTGGCAGAGAGGTGGGACCCGAGTCTGTGCTGTAGTGAGGAAAGACCTGAAATCTGAACTTTCTGGCTGGTCAAGAACGTGGCTGATTCTTCTCTCCGCTGCAGGACTAGGGAGGAACGGGGAGGAGACAGGTAGATGGGGAACGCCTCAGCTTCATGAAAAGCTTTAATCAGATCTGACACTTTATTAGATTGGGAATAATCCAGTCACCAGATGCAAAACTATGAGGTGGAAGCCGAGGATGGGGCTTCAGGGGCTTCCTGCAGACCCGCTTGTTACCGACTAGGGCTGTGTCACAGCAGTGCTTACTGGGCTCCCACCCGCATCCTGCACTTCAGGAGATCCTTTGCTACAGCTGTTGTACCAGGGGTCTCTGTAGCTGTGCGAGCCTAACCTTCTGAGTGATCACTACTTTCCTGATTGATACTTGATGGTTTTTTTTTTAAAATCTTAAGTAAAGGAGAAGGCTCTAGGGCATTTCATCTTTTTGTTAATTCCCCATTTCAAATCTCCTTTTACTTTCAAGTTCTTCTATAACTGCATATCGCAGAGTGGCAGAGGCTGCAGGGTTTTTTGTCACTTCTACAAAGACTTTACATTTAAATTTATCACTAATTTTTAAACAAAATCTGTTCATAATAGATCTGTGTCCATCACTGTCCTGTTTGGGAGGTTCACAGCAGTGAACGTGACAGGCCTGCTTGCCCTTCAGTTATCCCGGAGGGGAGGCACACCCCCACTCTACCTGAGATAAAGAGAATCTCCACTAGCTGTTGCACAATATAAAGCCTGTTTCAGGGGCTCACTAGAATTTTATGTGGTGCTCCTGTATGTGGTGACTGTATGTACTCATTGTAACCCACAGTTCTGTCTGACAAAGGCTGGTGTGTGTCTACATTTATTAGTAAAAGACAATATGGAGACTTCTAATTGAGAATCCCCCCTCAATTATTTGATGATTTTAAATACTCCAAAGTGCATAATAATGAGACCAGACAGTAGAGTTGGGACCTGTTACGCACATGATGCATGCTGTTTAAAGTGTACTGGGATATACTAGAACTAAGGGTAATAGGACGAGATTGGTTTAAAACGAATAAAAGAAAGTACTTCTTTAAACAGCAAGAGTGAGCTTCAGGAATTAATTGTTAGAGGAGGTGGTTGAGACAGCATCGAGAGGTTCAGAAAGGGGTGAGAGAAATTCTAGATACCAAAAAAAACCAGACGGCTTTTCCATCTGATATCCTTGATCTATGAAATAGCTATTCCTGTTTTAAAGAAATCTGGCAGTGTAAAACCACCATCACAGGAGGCTCTTGAATTGGTTGTGTGTTTTTGCAGAGGAAGACTGTAAGAAATACTTACAAAGGAAGCAGGAGCAGGCCGACCAGCCACTTCAAGTGCCAGCAGTAGACAGCAGCGTGCCAAAGACATCAGAACTGATGGGCATCACCACCAGGGATGATCCGTACGGTAAGTGCCCGTGATTACAGTGCTGCCTGATACCTTATGTTGGAATTGGCTTCAGCTGTAGCAGATCCCCATGAGAATTAAAGAAAACCTGTTTGCTTTCATTACTCCCCGTGACTTTTCATAGCCTAGGCCGGAATGCTTTAGCTGGTAGTCTGCAGCCACTTTCATTTTTCCTGCTCCCTAGGGCAGAGAGGAAGAGCAACCCTGGGGAATGCCGTACCCAGAAACAGGCTGGTGCAGAGCCCACTGGATGTGCATGGGAGGAGATTTCCCAGAAATGTGTCCCTTAGCACAGCCTGGCACAGAGCAACAGCTGCTGAAAGCACAGTGGGTTGGAGTAAAGGGGGAAGGATGTCAAAGCTGATTGCCTTGGCTACGCTGCCCTGTCTTCAGCAGATTTAACCACCTTGAATAAAAAGGAAGCAGGATGTGAAGTATGGCTGGGTGTGAAGTGGGGGGAGAGAGGAAACAGTTCTCTGTGTGTGTGCTTGCTGGGCCACACGTGCAGCTCTGCGTGTGCAGCCACGTGCGTGTGCAACTGTGTGCTGGGCTGTGTGTGCAGTCTTCTGTGTTTCTAGCTGCGCGCTGGGCTGCGCACACAGCTGTATGTGTGCATGCTGGGCTGTGTGCGCAGCTGTGGGCTGAGGAAGCGGACATCCTACAAGGTTCTGTGACAGATGGAGCAGCATCTAAGACTGAATGGAAATGTGTCAGCTCACCTCTTCGTATGCTCCCCTGGCTAGTCCAACTTTGGGTGGCCACCTTTGTTGTATGTGGGGGCATCATTAACCCTCCCCAAATGTCCACAGACCAATACACTGGTGTTTGGACGTGGCAGCTTTGCCTGATATGACCCCCAAGTGAGCGCATGCCCCTAAAGCAGTACCCTCAGTTTGATTGACCTGTCAGACAGTTACCCTTCTGCTTGACTGGATGCTTCTTGAGCTGGATCTGCCTGCTGGGTTCCTGCTGTTCCCAGCAGCTTTTAGAGTCTGACCTATTTTTTCACTGCGGTAGGCTTTAACTGGCATAAAAACTTGAAAATATATGTAGTGACATTGACATGGAAAAAAAATAACACAGTGGGAAACTATCCAGCAGTATTAAGGCACTTAATTACGAGGGACATTGCCCTTAAAATGTAGTACTTTAATATTTGGATAAGTGCTAAATAAACAAGAGCTGCTAGCCATTAACATCTTTGGAAAACAGGGCCATTTACTTAGGATATGACTTCAGGTACCCAAGTTTGATATCTTAGCCATAAAAATTACCCTTTCCTAATTTCAAGGCCTACCTCATAGCTCAGTAGACAGTGGATGCCAGGACATTGCTAGATGAAGGGCCTGTAGGAAGGTTTTGGTTGGGAGTTTGTATCTCTGTGACCTAAACTAGAGAACTAGCTCCCAGAGCCACAAGGATATTTTAGATGCATAGGTCCCAGTGAAATCCCGGAGCACTGGGGCTCTGAGCTGTGTCCTCTGGGGTACTCTGCTCCCTCTGGCTCTTCCCAGACTCTGTCTCGCCCCCTTCCCTGTGGCTGGATGTTATTGCCTCTGCAGATTTTGCATGTCTGCATCTCAGCTACACTTCCCTAACCACTGCCAGCAAATGTGGGTTTATGCGAATAGCCTGGCCTTTGAACCAAAGCGGTCAAGGCACAGATGTGTGTTACCTCCTGCCAGCCCTATGATGGACAGGAGTCTGGGCTGAAGGGTAACTAGGCTGGTAAAATGTTAAATTACCTTTGCAAGTTTGGCCAGAGCTTGTCTGTCAAAGCTCCGAGTCAAACTCTGTGGGAGTTAGTGAAAGTTCACTACAGGAGTTAACTTCATTTATAGTAGAAGATGACAACTAAATTTTTAATGGTTTCAGGGAATGGAACGGAGATGTTTGATGCCTTTATCTGCTACTGTCAGAAAGACCTTCAGTTTGTCCAGGAGATGATCAGGGAGCTGGAACAAACAGAGTTCAAATTGAAGCTCTGTGTATTTGATCGGGATGTCTTGCCAGGAACGTGTGTGTGGTCCATCAGTGGAGAACTTATAGAAAGGAGGTAAGTGAACCATGGCTGTTTGGGACAGCTGAGTGTAATGGAACATTCCGTTCATTTTACCATGATATCTGCAGTGTGGTGCCAGTGAAGCGGTAAAAATCCACAAGGATGTCTTTATGGGGTTTGTTTTATACTCTTGGCTCAAGAAGGAAGACTCAGGCATTCCCAAACATGTTGCTTCATTGTGTTCACAAGGCAGATGCCACTATAGTGATGCTGCTTAAGTTTGATCGCTTTTCTTTGGCTGGAATATCCTGCAGTCGCATCCTTGGAGGTGATCTGGAAATGAAAACAGCTCCAGGCTGAGTTAGCTCCACCCCACAGCATGGAGTTTGAGGGGACAGCACTGGTGTTGGCTCTGGCGTTGACTTCAAGGATCCTTCAGGCCTATGTGGGACTCGGGCATGGTGGGAGCTGTGGGAGACAAAAGCAACTCCCCAGACAGGGAGTGAAAAATCCCAGGGCAGTGTTTGGGTTTTAAACATCAGCCTTTCAGAGGGAGGTAGCTTGGCCTTAACAGAGACCCTCATAGGGCCTCACTGTCCTGGCCGTGGTACAGTGTAGCCTTCCATAAAGAGCCTAACATGTAGTTTACAACCAGGCACCTCAAATGAACGTAAGCAATAAATTGGAGAATAAAGCTCAAATTTATGAAACCAGGTGAATTCACAGTAATATGCGTACAATAAAGCTCTGTCCAGTTCATTCTAATATTAAAAAGTACCAGTTATGCTCAGTCAATAAAGGCAGCATGTAAGCAGATAATTAAGATGGCATTGTTTGTAATGTATAGACAGAGGATCAAATAAAGATTGCACAGACAATCTGGACTTTGCTATTTCCTAATTTTTTGGTATATGAGTGTGTATCTGTAATCAGGTTTTTGTGTGCAGCGTAGCTACCTGTCTGTCAGTAGTCCTTGCTCTCTAGTTAATTCCTGCTGGAACACAGCTGGCAGGTTCATTCATGACTGCTTCATCTTCAGGTGTCGGAGGATGGTGGTCGTCATTTCAGATGATTACCTGGAAAGCGATGAATGTGATTTTCAGACCAAATTTGCTCTTAGTCTTTCTCCAGGTAAGATCTCAAAAATATCCCATCTAAAATTGCATATCAACATTCCAATTTTTATTACAGTAACATCTCCAGCTGAGATCAGTGCCGTGCTATTGGGCACTGCACAAATGCAGAATGAAGGGTAGTCTCAGATGTGTTTAAACAGATTAGGTAAATACGGGTGAGGAAGGCGAAAATAACTGATAGTTACAGAACTGGTAACTTGGTCTCAGACCTGGGTTCTCAACACTGACCTATGTTTCATGTGTGTGAAAGTCCACTCAGGCACAGGGCTTGCCCTGGGTGTAATGCCTTTCACTAGGCAAACAGAGATCTATCGCTGTTAGAAGCAGCCATTAAAACTAACTGTGGCTTTATAATTTTGTTGTGCAGGCAGGGACCTGAACTTGGTTCCTTGCCCTGCCGTTGACCTTCTGCATGACCGGGAGCGAGAAGCTTAGCTGTCTATGCTTCAGTGCTCCAGCTGTCAAGTGGGCTAACACTGCCTGCTTCAGAGACATTGTAGCTGCATGTCAGGCTTGTGAAGTGCTTCAAGATCCATACGGGAAATATGCCATAAAGAGAAAAGTATAATAAATTCAGGGTGTGAGTAGATGCTGGGAATAGGGTAGCAGGTAATGAACGTGCAGCTTTTTGCAGAGATCCTTGAGTATTGTGGCTAGGTAAACAAAATATGGAGTGAATGTCCACCTTGGATTGGAAAAAATCTGTTACATATTTTGTTCTGAATTGAAAAGCCATCAATTTACTTCTGTCAAGTCTGTTCAGACTGCTTTTCTCTAACCACTAGTTATCCTGCACTTGTGTATGTTGCTGGGGAGTAAGTGCAGCACAGCCTAATAGTATGGAGGATGTGCAATATCAATAGGAGTGTCTGCATGTAAAGTCTCTTCTCTAGATGAGGTGTCTGATTCGGTATCATAAATGACTTGCCAGAGGTTAAACTGGAAGCCAGTGGCAGGGCTAGGAATTAGCTCCACCTTCCTTGATGCAATAATTTCCTATGATGGCTGTTAATCCACTGAACACCCCTAGCACGTTGCATCAGCCCCTAATCATCAAGATTTGTAGCAAAGTCCTTTTAGTTCTTCACCAGTTATTTGTTGGCATCATACCTTTCATTAGAACAACAGGAAAAGAAATGTCCATCTGTATGTAATAACCTGAGCTCTACCATTGAAAACACGTGTGTAAGTACAGGCTTCCAGAAATCACACAGGTACTTGTTTGCGTGGGGTAACTAACGCACAGAAAGTTTGGTGGCAAGTTCTGGGAGCTCCAGGGATTACTTAAGCATCTGCTGCAGTTACAAAATCTTGGGTTATTTACCTCATCCAGGTCCCAGCGTCATCACTTGCACTGGGCGGCACTGTTTAGCTGGTAGCGGGTGTCCCTGTGGAGAATTATAAGAGGAGAGGTTCCTCTTTAGAAGACCTGCTCCTTCAAGCAGTAGCAATCATAGGGAGAGTTGTCTCATGTTGTGCATGCCTCAGTCACGTTAGCGGAGTGATTCCTTGCAGCCCCTTGTTGGGTAACATCTGCACCCTATCTGAGTACATCAGGGTTGGAAAAAAAGAAATGGAGATAACCCAGTAAAGCTGACCATCTAGAAGCAACTTAGTCTCTGTTTTTCTCTTCATACACACCTGGAAGTAGTTAGGACTATATAATCCTGTTTGCGTTCCACAAGAAACTGTGCTGTGTTGTTTTATATCTGCAGTTCGTTAGGCCTTTATCACTCCCAGTTGGGATCAGCACAGGCCGCCCTACACATGCTAGATGGGGCCCTGCTACGTATTTGAGTGAAATGTTCTTAGCAGAGGGCTTGGGATTCAGAAACTTGCTCTCCAGGGTAAGAGCTAGTTGCATTATAATGAGATGACACAAAATCAGGAGCAAACCTGCATCTTGTGATGTGTGTCCTGCTGTTGGGAGAAAATGGATACAAGATCTGACTGTGGCTCTGTGTAATCCTCTGCCTGTGTGATTTGTCTTTCAGGTGCCCGTCTCAAACGGCTGATTCCAGTCAAGTGCAAAACCATGAAGAACGAGTTTCCAAGTATCTTACGGTTCATTACAATTTGTGATTACACCAATCCTTGCACCAAAAAATGGTTCTGGACGAGACTGGCAAAATCCCTCATGCTGCCGTGATGCAAAGTCATGAGAGCTAGGTGCCCTTTTGTCATCTGTCCTGGCTGCGCCTTCGGACCATGTTGTTGTTCACGCAGGGTCTTTTACCACTTCAGAACCTGGATCCTTCCAATCCGTGTTTGGAGCCTGCGACTGGGAGCAAAGAATTTTCTCTAGCACTTTTTTATAACTCAGAAGGAGAAATAAAGAAACTGTGTGGGTGTTCCTGTTCAAGTCAGTGAGCAACAGCATCCAGTGTTTTGTGTAGTAAGCATTTTCACTGAAAATATAGAAAATACACATTTGAAGGTGGAGTGTCTAATACAAGGACGCTCAATTGTAAGCATTTAATAAGACCTTAGAGCCTCAAACTGCAGGCGTTCTTAATCTTAAATATTTCCTATTATTTTAAAAGCTGTTCAGTGGCTATAGTAATATCTAGGGTTGGTGTTTCTTTAAAACCCCAGTGAAATCCCGTGGCTGCCTGGTGATCTGCAGGAACTGAGGTTTCAGACTCTGTTTCCTGCTCTGTGAACGGCCAGTGCCATGAGAATGACGGATTTTGGCAGCCCTGTCCGGGGGACCCAGCCTGCCCTGCCAGGGATGATGTCCCCTGCCCTGTGCTGCAGCCCCACTGTTGGGCAGCACGGGGGAATGCGTGTGGGCTCTCCCTGGCCCATGCTTGTTCTGAGGGTAGACAGTCTCCTTCAGTCCTTCTTCTGAGAAAAGCAAAAGCGTATTTTAATTGTTAAAGCACTGCTAAGAAATGAATGGTTCTCCTGTTATTCATAGCAATATCTACAAAATTAGAGCAATTATCCATGTAATTATGACTAATGCAGAATTGCTGAGCTTGGTTTATTCTCTGGGGATGTTTTCCTCCTTGAGTTATATCACAATATTCCTGTCCCGTGTTCATTTACAGGGCAGATCCCTTGTCACTAGCATTTTCTGAGGCAGTCCCTCAGGTTTGCTTTAAGTGGTTATTTTTTGCTTGTTGAAAGCAGGAAGTGTAAGGAAAGACACACTCTTGTACTGTGTTTGTCATGTCTGTCTCTGTTCAGGTCATATTTGATTAAGTGACGTTACACCAGCATTTTACATTCCCAGATTTTATTAAATGTTTGCAATAGAGCTTTCCTTTCGTAGAAATTCAGTCTTAAAATATATATTTTCAGTGAAAGTCCTTACTACAGAAAGTGCAGGCTGCTGTTGCTCATTGACTTGACCAGGAACAGGGCTGTGCACCTAAGTGGGTCCAAATCTTAAATTGTTTCACCTTTAAGAGCCTTCCAACATACCAGCTTTTGGGATGCCTCAAAGGTACAGCAGTAAATACTGAGTAGCATATTAAATGGTCACTTGGGGTGTTTAAAATATAAAGGCTAATGTTACATGAATAGGAAAGAGCATATTTTAGTTAACCGCCACAATAATTACTGTATTTCTGTGACTAAGGCTAGAAGCAACACTGATATTGCTCTGCTTGTTAGATTTAGCCTTGAATCCTGCAGAGTGACTAGTGGATCTCGTCAGTTCTCAGTGCTCAGGGGTGGTGGGCAAGAGTTCTGCCCAAAGTAGTGTTTTAAAGTGACCCGCTGGTGTATTAAACAGATTTACAGTAAATATTTACTTTCTAAATTGGGAAGAGAGGGATCTTGCTTATGTATCTGCAGTTGCTTGGACTCTGCCACTTTGTTCATGCCTTCAGCCACTGACTCATGTTGATTTCACCGCTTAATGTTTTACTAGTTTACATTTTTAAGGTTGCATCTGGATGTGATTTTTTTTTTTTTTTTTTTTTTTTTTAATATTTAGGATTTGTTTTAAAGCATTACCAGGGCTGAGGTGCAGAGAGAAATGGGTGCTCCTGCCTTTCCCTCACCCACCCTGTCAAGGAACGGTCCCTTACCAGGGGGTGCTGCAAAGCCCTGTCCTGTCCTGTCCGCACGCTGCTGCCGGTTCCTCCTGGCTGAGACCAGCCGGCCCTCAACCTGAGCGGGGTGAAGCTTGTTCACCCACATCACGTTAGCGTCAGGGGCCATTTTTGGATAGGCCCACGAGCTGGGTGTTTTTCAGTCCCTCCTACAAATACAACTGCTGCCATTGTGCCAAGGTGACGTTTACACCTCTCTCTCTCTCTCTCACAAGTGAGAAGCCCGTGGGCATGGGAGGAGAAAAGTTAAGCTGACGAGGGGTTTCTAAATAGTTTGTCTTCATGTCCTGTTGCCCTCAGGCCTCTGCTGCAGCAGCGGAGACAGCTGCTTGCCTCGGGGTTTCTGCATAATCGTTAAATGTTAATTATAGAAGAGTTTCTGGAGGCTGCTTGATCCCCAGGCGCTCCTGGGGCTCAGTGAATTCTCATACTCTGGAGTGTCTATAAACATTAATTATGGGTCATTACTCGCAGGACCAAACCAGATTCCTCGTTTGGAGAGCTGAAAGGACTCTGGTAACTAATTAGGGGGTGATACGGGCACCAGAGGCTGCGCTGCAGACGCTAGAGGGAGGCAATGGCCCACGCTGGCACCCTGCGAGGGATCCTGCCTGCCGGGTGGGATGGACCAGCTGCACCATGACCGGCAGAAGAGAGGAGCAGGTTTTCTTCCTCTGCCCTTTGCAACCTCTTCTAAGGAGGCTATACCAAAAATAGCGAGAATTTTGGCGGATTGAACCACGTGCGGTGTCTTCTGCGCAACTCCTGACGGGTGGTTTGGGACTGGGGATGTTGCAAATGAGGAAAAAATAATAGCAGCAAAAATAATTATGTTTGTAATAGATGATCTGGTGATCACCGAACAGGGAAAGTGCTGCTTCTGGAAGGGAGAACAAAACCAAGAGCTGAATTTCTAAATCTTCTGCCATGCAGTAGATAAATGCAATATTCCAGTTAATTGTGAAAGATGTCAGTGCTTCGGTGGGATCTCGTTATCACCCGCTCTCTGTGCCCTGGCCTTTCTGTCTGCCTGGCTCGGATGCCAGGCAAGTATTACTGTTGTCAGACTGTTGCTTCATTGCAACCGGTTACCATTTGTCTTGTAGGCTAAAATAATTATTTTGGGGTAAAGTGGGGTAACAGCCCTAAACTGGAAAATATGTGCTTTAAATATGTATCTTCTTCTATGCAAAAACCAGAGTTTATGCACTTCTGACATTTCCATATCTGTCTTGTCACGGTGACTTGATGAAGTGTGACATCTATGAATGGTATAAAATCTAGTTATGATAAACACATTTCAGTGGCAACTGTGGTTCTCCCCTCTTCCATGCCCAGTGGAAGGTCAAAATTTTGAACACCTTTAAAGAAGGGACTTAGAAAATTGTGATGTTAAAATTTTTTTCCATTTTGTTTCTTTCCCTCACTGAAGTTGTCCTAGTTGAATCTGTTAGTACCAAATCGTTTATTTTTATATATATACATATATATTTATATTACTTTCTATCCTGATACAAATCTGTGGAAAAGCATACATGTTGTATAGCCATTCTGAAAATAGTCAACGATTCAGTGTTTTTTCCTCCTCAAAAAAAAAAACCCTTTTGCTACTTGTGAAAGCATTTTAAAATAAAGAATTAAAACCCAGCAGGCTGAATCTCCTTCTTGGGCCTCAGAGAATAAATACTGGGTCTCAAAATGAAGTGTTAGTGAGAAATGATAGGGACTAGTTCTTTTTTTTTTTTTTTTTTTCATGTTTTGCCTAAACAGCTTCCTCAGTGGAGGTTTTTGGCCGTGCCTGGAAAAGGGAGAGGTAGAGTTGTGTCACACCAGGAGGAAAATTAAGAAGAAATCATACTTCAGACACGTGTGGTTCCTCTCCAGGTCTCGTTTTTGGCTTTGCGGTCTGTGTCTGTCGCCATCCTGGACCTGCTTCAGCCCTGGTACCCAGCAGGCCGGAGGGGATGGAGCCAGGGCTTCGGCTGCCTGTCCCCGGCAAGCAGGGATGCTGGGCGGTTAGTTCCTACTCCACATCCTTCCTAGAGGCCCCAGTAAGGTATATATCGCAGCGCAGCAATCTGGAGGATTTTGCCAACTTTATTTCCTTTGGCTCGGAGGCAGTCCAAGCCAGGGAAATAACTTATGAACCCAGCAGCTGTCGGGCCAAGGACCTGCCACAGGAAGAGACGAAGGATCACTGAATCACAGAAGTGTTGGTTGGAAGGAATTTCTGGAGGTCAAGGATGAGCTGCACTTCACAACAGGAGGGGCTGTATGCTAAGCCGCTTGCACGACAACATTCCCTATAAAGCGTATGAAGTAATGTCTTTGCTATGGCTACTACGAGTGAACATATGGTCAGTGATATGGAAGCCATCCCTGCATTTCCAGATAGAAATCGCTGGCAAGAGTAGCCTGCCAGGAGAGTCCCACTCCCAGAAGCGCTGGCATCCCATCACTTTCTGTGCACCTTTGCACCACTCGTCTCTTTGCATGTTTTTGAGCAGTTAATGATTTTTGCCTGTATTTGGCAGTAGCTCAGGGTCAGGGGGTCCGGCTGCGGTAGCTCTTTTCTAGCCGTCATTCCTCTTGTGCCAGAAGAAATATTCCCAGTTCTCCATTTCATTGCAGGAACATCGGCACCATTTCCTCCTTTACTGGAAGATGGCTTTTACCTGGTGAAATTCAGTAACTGCTGCAGAATGTTCTAAGCTTCAGAGATGGAGGGTGAGAGATGAAGTACTGCCCCTTGACGGATCAAATTCTGTTCTTCATTACGCTGACATGAAAAGAGTTGCTTTATCATGATTGAGGCACTGCTTGGTCCAGAGGGCACATTTACCGGAAGAAAATTAGCATAGGGAAGAAAATGTAATTATGCATAAAAATAGCTGGGAAAATTGTTTGAGCATCCTGGAAACGTATTTTAATAAGGCAATAAAAAGAAACAAAACCCACAAGGTTCACATTACTGGAAAGCATGCTAATAGAGCTTATTAAAAAACACCTCTGTCAGACCTATTAGGGTTTTACTAGACAACGAGACATGCGCCATGTACAAATATTTCTCTGAAGGTAATTTTCTCTAGGTGCTATGTTATAACCATTCTTGGTTCAGCCGATACCCACTAGGATTTTGAGATGACTTTGAACCCAACCCAACTTCTTGATAAGCACTGTCAAGCCCAGCCTGGAAAACTTGCTTATTTTGTAGCAAAATCTGCAGTCTGGAGAATTAATATTGTTGTATCCACTCTGGAGCTGTGCTGCTCTGGAAAGATTTAATTAATTGAAGGTGTATTTAAATCTTAAGTTGTTCCAAAGTCCGATTCACAAACAATGCATTTTCTGTTCTGTAGCAAAGCCCGGCTTAGCAACGTGCCTTTCCCTCCTCCCGTTTCCACTGATCAAGCCGCTCATGCAGTGGCAGAGGTTGGGGCTGTCCGTGCCCACCGGACAGCGGTTTATTCTGTCTCAGCTGGATAAGGTGGTTTCCACAAAGTGGACTGTGGACAGTGAACTGCTGTCCCGCCCTGCGTGGGATGCATCCCTTCAGTTCAGAGCACGAACGTTTCATCAGCTGCACCTGGAGTTTCTCCTGGCTGGCAGCTGGCGGAGGGGCTTCAATTCCAATTTCCCCAATTCCTAGGCTTGCTCAGGTTGGATTTTGGTGGGGCTGGACTGGAGGGAAGGAACGAACACAGTCTGCGCTGGCCGTGAAACGCTTAACTACATCTCTTTACAGAAGGTTGCTTGGAACTTTTTTCCTCTTGCTGTTTCACACCCGCCTTCCCGCTGCCCTGCGGAGCAGGGACATCCGAGTGCGGTGTCTGGGGCTGAGCCCGGGGACAGCACGACTGCTCCACTCTGCGCTTTCAAGCCTCCCCTTCCCAGCAAACACAGAGCCCCCCAGGGTGAGGAGGCAGGTGGCAGATGGCTGGAAGCACAGAGGCACTGGGAGGAACGTGCCAGGCTTTCCTCAACAGCCAAGTATCCAGACTCTCCCCAGACTGGACAGATTTTGTACAGCTCTCAGCCCTACCGTGCGTTCATGCGGGGAAAGAGCAAAGTAGCGTGCCAGGCTGGGTGCCAGCCTGCGGGGGAAAGGATCAGTGGGTCCTGCTGGCTTGTGAGGTGGACGGCGGCTCATTTCACCTGCACCCAGGGAGCAGGAGGGCTCTGCAGGGGCGAGTCGGTGGGAGGAGGAGGAGAACCCTTGCTCCAAGCCCAGTGAGAAAGCGCAGGCTCAACGCTATGAATCTCGCCTGTTTTGTTAATGAAATCAAAGTCACGAGGCGATGCAACGGGTCTTTATCCACTGTTTAGGATGCTGAAGTTAGGAAAAGGACGGACTCACAGGAAGTATGTTCAGGCAAATGTGGGGGTTATGATGAAGTGAACTTTCACAAAGTTTTTGCAGCATTTTTCTGGCTCTAATCTTCAGCTATGTTTGCCTTCTGTTTGTGTCAGCAGAACTACATGTAAGAGCTGCAAGTCCTAAGGTGCTTAACTGCTTGTGTGCCAGTTTACAATCTGTTGCCTCAGAAACCAAAAATACCATTCGGGAGGGGAAAACTGGGTAAGCAAACCTGAAGGTCCACGTGCCGTTCCCTGTCGTGCCGGAGCCACGGTGGACCCTGCGGACTGCTTTACAGCAACGTTTTCAACTGTGTTCAGAAACCTGGGTGACTGATTTGAAACTACTGAATCATGGAAGATTTAGTGTTTGATTTTTGGCAGCACTTGGCAGACATTCCCAACTGAAATATATGTGGAAATGAAATTTAAAGTGCTTTCAGCTGAGGACTAAAATGGACATTGACCTTAAAATGTCAGTGTCTCAGCATCTCT